AGGCTTCTTATGTTCTCTGTGGACTGTGGAACAATGACTTCTGGAAAACTCAACTTAAAAATATTCTCACAGCTGATGCTGGCCTAGAAAAAGCAGAGTTTTATTAAACACCTCATAATGCGAATCCTGCAGTTCACAAAGGACCTGATCCAAAGCTAACTGAAATCACGGGGAGTTTTTGCCAGCGACTGTAAGCCTGATGCAAATAGGGATGTAAGTGACTACTTGAGTAGCTTACTACATGATAAACTTAGGCTTATCGGATAGTTGAGTCATTATTTGACTACTCGCCCCCCCCACACACACACACACTGCCTCTATATCAGAGGCAGCGGGGAATGGGGGGAACTGGCTTTTAAGCCCGTTCCCCCCAGCACCGTCTCTGCAGTGTGGAGAGGGTAGGGGAAGTAGAGCCGCAGCTGTCCTGGAGCTGGCATAAGCAGGGACTGCTTAGTCCCAGATCATGCCACCCTTGGGAGCTAACCCCAATGCGGCTCTGCATTTTGAATGTAGTAAGAGCCCGGGTCCTGTGCACCCCGCTCCTACTACATTTAAACGGCAGAGCCACAGCGGGGGGGTGGGGGTGAAGATAGTGAGCGCCCCTTTTTTTGACCAAACAAGTAGTCGATAGAAATTCCATTAACTACTTGATTAGCTAATTAACTGCTACTTAACATTCCTAGATGCAAAGGCCATTAGCACAACAAACACTGAAATCTAGGAGAGTTTTGCTTGAATGAAGGATTGGGCAGAATACGTGAAAGATATGGAGACTAGGTACAACTAGATATATCAACATTATTATAAGTAGTCAAACGCTAACTCTACACACACAGTTTATAGGCTGTCTAATAAAGATTAAATCAATGTCTTTGGTTCACTTCCGTATGTGTGCATCACAAAATGGTGCTTTTCTTTAATTGCTAGTATAGAGACAGAAGGGAGAACTTACACGTTTCTCTTATGACAATAATGACTGAGGATTTTCAGGTTCAGATCTTAGTTCATATGAATGATTTAAGACATGCAAGCAGTCCCAGTGCAATTAATAGGATTACTTGCAGGAATATGGGCTGCTCATGTGAGTAACAATAGGAAGAATCTAGATCTGTTCTAGAAATGCTCAGTCCATCTGCTCCAAAGATTCAATTTTGACCTTTAATTTCATTTTTGTCCAGAATGGTAAATTATTTTAATGATTTTTAAAAACTGTTTGCTTGGATTGCAATATTCCTGTAGTATGTTTCCAACCCAAACCCAGTAATTGCATGAGAACGGGGAATTAAAATTATCTATTCTATTTTCATTGTCTCAGATGAATAAAGTGGAAAAATTAAAAATGCCATTTTAAGTGTAAATCAACACTAGTCCAGGGACTTTTCCAAATATTAATTCAAATAGCTTAAATCTACAGGTGGTTCACTATCAAATTATAACTATCTCTAAGCAGGTCTAATTTTGGGACTAAGCTATTTGTATCTCCTTAAAGCACCTCAGTGTGTGGAAGGTAACAAAGGGGAGCATCTTATAACATTCTTTAATCCATTATGTGTGTGATGGAGTTAGCAAATTATCCAAGTGTTGTAGGGTACTTAATAGTGACAACTTGGAAATCAGGAATGTAAACTCTGGAGTCTTTTTTCTATGCCTTTTTACAGCTATAGAGAAGAAGACTGTTCTTGGTTGGACAGGACATACTTAATCCCTCTCTGTGCAGCTGGTGGAAGACTTATGTAAGGAATGAGCCTGGGCTGCCAGTAAGTCTCAAGGAATGATGGCGCATCCTAGGTTGTCCAAATATTTGTCTGATAGTCAGAAAAGAGATTTACTTCTAACGTGTAGGCTCAGATGAGCGAACTTTCCTGAAGAGTTATTGTTGAAGTGTCCAAACCATCTATATCGATATACATGGAGCTGGAAAAATTGTTCATGCTGTTGTACATATGTAACAGCATGCTGTATTAAGGCTACGGCTCACCAAATGTCATGTGACAGAGCACCTCCTGTAAGATGGAGCCTGATTAGTCAAAGAGGGAGAGGCAGGGAGACAGGAAGGAGTGGGTGGGACTCTGTATCAATCAGGTAAATGAGCTGGTAGGTAATACTTGCAGGGATTAGAGGCCTTATTAGGGAGAGGCTTTTGGAAAGGCCCGGCAGCAATTCCTGAATTTCCTGAAGGAATCATAGTCTATGAAAGGTGTATGTTGAGCTGATACTGAAGTTTTTGTTAAAGAAAATGCTGAAATTATGCCACTGCAAGGAGCTTTATTCAAAGTATTGGCTAGTGAGCTGACCCACCAGCATACAATATAGCCAGATATAGGTAAAGTTAATACCAATACATATTTGTCATTTTCTTGGCTATGAAGCTCTTAAATATGTGTAGTTGTCTTCTCTGCTTAGATTATTTCTAACACTCAACTACGGCATTATTTTCCTTCATCTTATGGTTTTGTCATATTGCTATTGAATGCCTAGTGGTTCCCAATCTTTTTTATACTACAGACCTGCAAATCCATTCACAGACTTTTAGTGGACTGGTAATATTTTATTTGCCTATTCATTAGGCAAATGAATATTCAAATATGCAAATAAAACATGACCAGTCCGCCAAAAGTTTGTGAATGGGTTTGCCAGTCCACGGTTTAAAATGCCCTGGTCCTCAGAGGCCCCGAGTGCTAGCCCTAACCACTAGAGCCCACATCCCTCCACTCCCCACCCCCCCCGGCCAGCCACTAACCCCAGGGTCCTCTTCACCCAACCCCAGCCTGCCACCCTCAGAGCCCCCCGATGCCAGCCCCCTGCCTCTTAGAGCCCCCGTACCAGATTCCCCAGTGCCAGATCCTGTTTCCAGGGCCTGACTGCACCCAACACCCTCAGACTTCCCCCCAGTGCCAGCCTCAATTTCCCCCCCCCCAATATTAGCCCTGTTCCCAGTACCCCCCAGTACCAACCTTAACCCCTAGAGCCTCCCTCCCCGCTAGCCCTGCCCCCAGAGTCCCCTGCCTGGCACTGGTTGGCTGAGAGGTGGGGCAGGACACGCCTCTCCCAACAGCTGTGGTGGGAGGGGAGGTGCTGGGCAGTGTATCCCAGCCCAGGTCCCCAGAGCCATCACGGCCCGGCAGCCAGAGGGTCGCAGCCCGGCTGGCATAATGCATGTCAGAGTTGAGATCAATTACTTTGCTAAAGCAGTGAGGAGTCCTGTGGCACCTTGTAGACTAACCGAAGTGTTGGAGCATAAGCTTTCGTGGGCAAAGACCCACTTCGTCTGATGCACCTGACGAAGTGGGTCGTTGCCCACAAAAGCTTATGCTCCAACACTTCAGTTAGTCTATAAAGTGCCACGGGACTCCTCGCCACTTTTGTAGATTCAGACTAACACGGCTACCCCTCTGATACTTTGTTAAGGCTAGGTACAGAGGAATTACCATATGAGACTAGCTTAATGGTCATTCTTGTCCAGTATCCTGACTGACAGTGCCCAATAGGAGATATTTCAGAAGAAGGAATAAAATACATTATAAGATTTATAACTGACAATTAGGTAATAATATGGGGGGAGGGGGGGGGGATGGAGAGCAGGCCGAATGTTTCTTCGAAGGCCCAGGAATCTGCTCGTAGACTTACAATCCAAGGCCTAAGGTTTCTGTCTTAAATTATTACTATTTATTACTGGTAGCAGTGACAATGTGCTAGGCATACTCCATACCCAAGATGCAGACACTGCCCCAAAGAGCTAACAGTTGAAGGCAAGCAACATACCAAGAGAGCAGGGGAGCGAAGGATAAATTGTGTTATGTTCATTCCCAGCAGACCATTGTAGTCTCTCTACTATGAAATTGCACACACAACTCAAAGTGGGGTATGCCACTCAAATGTATCAGACATCTCATTGCTTTGGTTAACCATGAAGATTAAAGTAGAATGTTGGTAGCAGAAGAGATTTAAATTATGTTTAGAGAGATATCAAATGACTTGGTATAGTCTGTTTTGATTAAGAGTAACTAGTAATGTATATTTATCTCTCCATATACTCCCCTATCTTCTGTCCCAACACACTCGGACTTCTTGTCCTAGTTTTCAAAACCCTCCACAATTTAGCCCACTTCTCTATACATCCTAATGTCATATCACTAGGCAACTCTTACCTTTCTTTGCCAGTGATTCCAGCCTTAATCACCACTTTTCCCACAAGTCCAAACTACCCTTTGTTTATGGGTAAAGTTACCAGTCAAAATCCATAAAGTCACCACCCCACTCAATCCTCTCTCAAAATTCACTTCTGGCATTTAGAAAACAGCCATCTGGTAACACACAGATAGGTGGTAAGTTATAACTGCTGCTATGATTGGCTACGTATTATGTATACTATTAATCCCTGCTTTTAAATATATAAAATGTTTGTAACCCTATCCTACTCTCCCACATATTCCAGTAATGGTGACAGCCCGGTCCTTTATATAAGTCCCTCCCCCAAAGCATGTACAGTAGTTTATGTTGCTGATATGAAACAACTGAATCGGAATGCAGCATATAACATTAAATATTAATCCATGGTAGTTAATGAAAATGAATCATTTCATAATCATCAACGTTGCATTTAATTATATTTTCCTCCTCCTAAAAGTGTATCCTCCCAAAGTGCTGTTTGTTGAATGCGCTTTCTAGAACCCCAAGGGAACTGTAGAATAATAAACTTTTAGCAGTGTCTGACTTACTAGTAATACATACCTTATCCAGAGAACTAGCACTAGTTTCCCTCCCATCCTGTGGAGATGGTTTGCAGCAGTGACACACATGAGAAGTATTGCAATGTTTTCCATTTAACTCTATACCATTTTTAGAAGTTTTTGTTTCTGATGAATTCACCAAAACTTCAAGAGTGTCAATGATGCTCTCAGACTTGACTAACGATTCATTGAAACTTTCAAAATCACCCCAGGAACTATTGGGTTCTGATGTACAATGAATGCTCTCAGAAAACTCTTCACAACTTCTTCTTCTAACTTTCTCCAGGGAGAGGCTCTGCTGCATCATTTCAAGTTCCACTGTATCTTCTTCATTTCTGCTTTCTTTTCTGTTACATTCAGCAATTCCCTCATTATTTTGACTTAGAGACATACCGCTCATTTTGGCTGTAAGATGCTCTTTCAAAGACAGACAGCTTAATCCTTCTATGGTGCTAGGACTTTTCACCAATTGCTGGTCCTGCATTTCTGTGTTATTGCAATAATATGGGATCACTGGTAAAACTTACAATGTAGAAAACAGACAACATAGTTTAGATGTTAAAATCTAATGTTTCCAAAGAATACAAATCTTCATTTCTCTTAAATCATCTGTAATAACGATGCTAAAGAACAGTATGTCCTTCACTCTCGCCCCCGGTCATCAACATTGTGTAGGTTATTCAGTCTGACTTTCATTCCACTCAGGATTTCAGTCTGCAAAAGATTGTAAATAAAGACATTTGTGATAATGGCTGTGTAAAGCTAAGAAGAGGAAACTGATAAAGAAAAAATGTTCACATATAAACACATTCCAATATTATACTGTTGTAAACAGCAATTTAAAAGGACAACTTAAAATGATCCAGCTGAAATTTGCTTTTTACTTTTGGTAACACTTTGTGCCTAATCAGTTTCACCATGTCCCTTGGAGTCTGTTTTGCCTTCATATAGCAAAAGTTTAAAAGAGATTTTTTTAAAGGTTGTGCATGTGTGTGAGGCAGAATTGTAAAATTACAAGAATTGGCCATGGAACTGCAGGAGAGTTATAGTACCTTTACTTTTTAAAAATAGCTTAGAGGCCATTTTGACTTCTAAAGAACACCTGTGTATGTAAAGCCGAATGTCTTTATCTTGGATATTAATATTTGAAAGCTGTGATTTAATCTTAAAATGCTTAACACATGCAAATTCGTGTGATAAAGAAATCTGAAGTCCTATAGTAATTGTTGGTGTTCAGTCCATACTAGTCTTGATATTAGAGCTTCCTTAGAAACTTGACAGTGAGAACAAGTACTGTAATTACTTGTGATTTGTCCTTTTCAGATGTGTTCATTTTTTTTTAATTGTATCCTTTGGTATATATGGTTGTGACTATTTTCTTCCACTATTTGATCTGAGGAAGTGGGTCTGGCCCACGAAAGCTCATCATCTAATAAACCATCTTGTTAGTCTTTAAAGTGCTATATTGTCCTGCATTTTGCTTCAGCTACCCCAGACTAACATGGCTAAATTTCTATCACTGTAATTACTTAAGCTGTTTTACATGCTTGCTGGTTCTGTGACAACAAGTCACTGTGAGGTTTATTTCAAGATGATCAGCAGGCAGGGAAATGGGGCAAAACTCAGGACTGCAGTGTGCCCTGGGGCTTTTTCTGCTAATCCCTTCCCCCCATAGTGCCAGCCTTTGCTTTTGTACATGGCACCACATTATTAGCACTCTGCCCAGAATCAGACTCAGCAGTAGGAATAATCCCCCGGCAAGCCTCTCCAACTCCGGGAGAAAATACCCTGTAAAGGTCTGCTTTCAGGCCAGCGCCCTCCTTTATTCTCCCATCAGAGGAGTAGCCGAGTTAGTCTGGATCTGCAAAAACAAGGAGTCCTGGGGCCCCTTAAAGACTTAACAGGTTTATCTGGGCATAAGCTTTGGTGGACAAAGAGCCACTTCCTCAGATGCATCCGACTAAGCCGGTTTTGTCCAGGAAAGCTTATGCCCAAACAAACCTGTTAGTCTTTAGGGCGCCACAGGCCTCCCCCCTGTATTCAATGGCAAGGGGCATTGTCACTCTCCCCA